GACATGAAGATCTTCTTCCCTCTGGCTGCCTCAGAGTGGGTGCGTGGCTGCTCGGTGAGGGCTCCCAGAGCACAGGGGGGAAGGGACCCAGCTCCGCCGAGGAAAGCTGCTCATCTCCATTGCTAGCAAAGGAAAACTCGAGACTCGGAGGCCAAGAGCGATGTCGCCTTTCCTAGTTTGAGACAAAACGTCTTTCCGCCAGTTTCTTTTTTTAATGAAGTGACACAGAGCAAATCCGGTTCACGGTTTCAATGTAGCACTGCAGCTTTTTGGTGAGGAAAAAAAAAAAAACACAGATTTTCATTTACTGAGAATCCTGCAGTCCAGCGAGGAGCACGATAGAAAGTCTTAGCAGGGGCGTGGTGTGCACATTTCTGATGGTACTTACTCTGCTTCAGCTCTGGGTGAGCAGGAGAGAACGCCAAATTCTTGGAGATCGCTTCCTCCTGCGTGAGAACCTGGCAGGGTAAGTCTGCATCCCGTTCTCCAAGCCACTCCACGCTTTTATAGCAAATGGAAGTAACTTGAGGAAAAGAATCTGCAAAGGATCTTTCACCCCAGAGCAGCTGTGGCCAATATCCCCGATGGTACAAAGCTTCCTTATCCCCTGAACTGTCGTGTTGCAATACTTGACATTTCTATGGCAAGGACCCCGTTTCTTCCCGTTTCCGCACTGAATTCCTGGGATGACTCCCTGCTCCAGCCTCTGTGCACCTGTCTTGTTTTTAAATGCAGTTATGCCCTGAAGGGTTGGGGGTTTTTTTTAAGTATATTCAATTGTGATTTAGCACTTTTTTGATACTAGCTCATTATTTAATTAGTGCAACCGTTTTCAGAAGATGAACAAATAAGGAGTTAAATTTTGGGCATTACACTGAAACAGTCCATCCCCAAGGACAAACCACATCAGCCTGAGGGTGGCTTGGCCCCGTCCGAGCCCAGTGTCCCCAAAGACACCACCTCAAAGGTGCTGTGTGCTTGCTTTTATTCTGAATTACCGAGTGTTTCACAGTGGTTTGGGCTGTGACTGACGTGTTTTCAGACTGTTCCCCTCTGGGGAGATTGTTAAAATGGTTGTGATATGAATTCTTCAGATGCAGAATGCAGCGCAGTGTGTCTGTGGTGATCTCACCAGGCCCTGGCAGGGCTGTGGGACCTGCTGCCACGGGAACACTGTGCCTGAGTAATTCCTGTTTAACTCCAGTTGCTGCTGTATTGTCAGGATTTCCTTTAGTCTCTCTCACCGGTGAGGCTGGGAGGGAAGTGAACCGTAATCCCAAGGGCACAGACCTGTAAAGGATTGGGAAGGGGGAGTGGAGATTTTGGGTTAAGTCAATGAATTTAGGAAACCTAACATTCCTTGTTATGCACATGTTGCAATTCATACTGGTGTAAGTGTAAATATTTGGTGTGTTGGCAACAAGTCTTTGGTGAGATTGCAAATTGAACCTCTGCTTGGGAGGAGGGACGCCTTTCCTTTCTGACACGTGAGCTTTTTTGGAGGTTGGCTTGGAGGTAACGTGGTGATGAAGACTCCAATCTTCAGGCACTGGGCTCGGTGACCCTGGTGGTCCATGCCAGCCCCATGTGGAAACCTGTGGTTGTCTTTAGTGATCCATTCTTTAGCCAGACACTCCCTTTCTCACCTTTCTCACAGACAGAGCAGTTGTTCTGGCAGTTCAGTGTGGTGAGGTTTCTTGAGGGACTCAGTGCTGGAGACTGACCCTGGGCTGTGCCAGTTTTTGGCTCCTGGCCACCTTCACCCACCCACTGTGCAGTATTCGGGCTCTTCCTCCCTGCAGGGTTTTGTGCTATCTTGAGGAAACTGCCCCAAATTTCTGGTGCTGAACATGACATTGCATCCAACTGCATCTGCTGTATTACCTGCCCGGGAGGAGTTGGGGCTCCTCTGTTCCTCTCTTTAAAGACAGATTGTGTTTCACAGATTTTGGTTTGTGGGCTGAGCCTCACTCACGGCTGGCAAACAGAGTTGCCAAGTTTTGTCTTTCTTTTTATAGGAGGGGATGATTTTTTTTTTCAAATTGAAGATGCTTTATCCTTTTTTTATTTTGTGTTTACAAAGAAAAAAAAAAAAATCAGCGCTAACCTTAGCTGTTCAACTGACTTTAAACTTGCTTTGGGATTGTTCTTTTTAGAAGAAATTATGCAACTTTTTAGGGGTACACGCCTGTCCCCCCTCCCAGGGAGAAGATGCAGCACCTTCCAGGCTGTACCTGTAGTGAAGTCTGTACCTTCAGGAGGCTGCTGAGACACAGAGCAGATGCCAAAAAGCCCCGAACTCGTCCCGTTCTGTGTGCAGCTGAGGTGGAGCCAGTGCTTTAATGCTCCTTCCACCCACCTCAGAAGTTTCCAGCAGCAGCAGCAGCATTTCCCTGGCTCTGCTCAGATCCGTGTTTTGGAGCCGGCACAGCGCTCACAAAGCTGTCGTGTTGCAAAGGTCTCCCTTTTAAATCTCATATAAATAATACCTTAAATTTGTTTTCCCAAAAGAAAAGTACCTGTGCTGTTCTCGCTAAGTCAACCCAGCTCAGACATTTTTCTTACCCACAGAAGAATAACCTGGGATTCCCTGACAGGGCAGAGACAGTCGAGTTCAGTTTGCAATGTGGACATTTTTGCTAATTGTGATGTATGGCAGTGGGGCTGATTTGTAATACAAATGTTATTTAATCTGTCTGTATTTTGATACTTGAATTTCCTTTTATTTCCTGTATATACAATTGTTAATCTGTTCAAATTTGTCTGAATTTTAAACATCTTGTGGTACCAAACATAACCAATCTGTGCAACAAACATAGACTGACCTCACTACAACAAGGCGAGATTGTAAATATTCCTGGGCTTCCAGCAGTCGTTTTGTTGTTTTCATAATTGTACAACTTAGAACAGACCGAATTAATAAACAACCTTAGACACACGTGTGTGCTCTTGTGTGTGGCCCCAGTGTTGTGCCCGAGTCCTGCTGGGGGTCTGTGTCAAAGCAGGGCAGTTCTCATCCTGCAGGCACTGGCTGCGGGGGTTTGGGAGCTTTGGTTGGAGCTGTTTTTTTCTGCAGCCAGTCATAATGACCCAAACATTGAATATTATTATTTTGAGTCTAATTTATGCGTAAAATCACATCCAAATGTTCTGTTAAAGACAGCACGAGGGTCTGCAGGCATTGTGGGTGTATTGTACACGTGATGGAGGGTTAGAAAAGCACGTTTTTACCCCCACTGAAGTACATCTGCAAGGACTGTGTCCCTGGGGGCTCTCATGCACTGGGGATAGGCACTGAAACCCTTTTTTGCAGCATGGCAGCGAGTGGTTCCTGTGACACCAGTACCCTTTTGGGCAACCATGGTTCAGAACATTCACCCAGCAAAGACCTGGGGCTTGCCAGGAACTAGGACATTTCAGTATGTAAAATTAGAGCAAGAAATCCAGACATTTAAATACAGGTTAAAGTTCAGATTTTCGTGTCAAGTAAAATCTGACTGATGTGAAATGCTAAATACACCAGGGATTGCTAAATTTATACCTTATGTTCCATTTCTAATAGCAAGGCAAGTCAGGTTTCCAGGCTGACATGAAATACACTGAGCTGCTTTAATGGTTTGAAGCACCATGAGGTTTTATCCCTCACAGCCACAGCCCTGGCTGGGGCTGACACCTCAGCAGAGGTTACAGGCCCCGGGCAGAATCTGAGTTTTTAACTGAGTTAAAAAGGCTGATCTGCACTGCAGTTCACTGAGCTCCACAGCCCCTTGCCTTCCCCACCAAATAGTGACAGGTTTTTGAGGAAGGAAGACTGCTGCTTTTTCTAGTTGAGAGGTTTATTCAGATCCTGACGTGCCAAGGGTTATCTCCTGCTGGCCTCGGTGGAGTTGGATGAATTTTTACAAGCTGAGGCAAGATCTGAGAAACTGGAGGAGAATGGATTCCACCCCTGCCTGGTACGTGGAGAATGTGATCAGAAATAATCCAGCTTGCAGCTGGGAGATGTTCCTTCCTGAGAATTCCCAAACTCTTGCCTGTTGTTGATTGCACTCCCAAACCTGCACCCAACTTCCAGCAGCTCCTCCTGAATGGAACCGAGGCCCCTTGGGAAATCTTTTTGAGAATATTGTCCATCAAGGAAAATTAAAAGGCTGAGGAGGGAATGAATCCACTGCCCTGTAGGGAAGGAAAGTATGAAAACAAAAAATAATTGGTAAATCAACAGAAATCTGTGAGAGAAGCTTCCTCAGGCAGCCAGGAGCAGATTAGGGGCAGCCCTGTTACAGGAGGTTGCTGTAGGAACCAGGAACTCCCTGGAGGGATGCAGATAGAGCAGCATCCAGCACAGGAACCCAGGTGACCGTGTGGCACCTGAGAGCACTTCAGGATCAGGTGTACTCCCCTTGCTTTCTCTTTGTCCAACATCCAGTTCCTTTCATGCAGGAAAAAGCCACATCAGTGACTTGTGGTGTGCAGGGGACAAAGTCTGGCCAGATCCTTCTGCAGAAGGTGCAGAGACTGTGTCAGAGAGCTCTTGAGCTGAGACACCAACACCTCAGAGGAGAGCTCCTCTGCAGAGTCTGCTTTGTTCGTGTCAGTCACAGCTTACACAGCTGGAGCCTCTAAATCTTTCCATATTAGTGACTCATACCTGACACTCATCAGATTTAAGACCTTCTTAGTAAATCGTGAAGCAGTGAATAAATAAAACAGGCTCCAACTTTTTTTGCTTATTCCAAGAGCTATCTTATTTTCTTGGTACTTCTTCAGTCAGACCCAAACCCCCTCCATCCCCATTCTCACACATTTTTTGATATGAGACAGAGAAAAGCCAAGCCTGAATATAAAGATACATATTTATATTTATATTTATATTTATATTTATATTTATATTTATATTTATATTTATATTTATATTTATATTTATACACACGCAGACCTGTGTGGGAGAAGCCGATCCCTGGCAGTCCAAAGTCGCTCCAAGGACAATTTCATGCACAATGGTCAGTGTGGAAATGTCACCAGTGACCGCCCACAGCTGGTTCCGGGGAGAACCGGAGCAGGCCTGGCTGCAGAAAAGCAGGATAAAAGTAAGGGAAGGAGCCTCGAGAGGAAAAGGGGGTTAAAAGCATTTACTGAGCAGCTTTTGAGTAAAAACGTGCACGTTTGTGTACAGACAAATCACCTCGCCAGCTGCGGCCGTGAGGGGACCCGCCTCCCTCTCGTCCCCGCGATCCCCGGCGCGGGGCTGACCCCTAGTGCCGGCCTGAATGAACAGCGGGCACTGAGGGAAAGAACACCGGGCACTGAGGGAATGAACAGCGGGCACTGAGGGAATGAACACCGGGCACTGCCCTCGGCCGCTGCCCGCACCCCGGGGTCCCGCGCCCACCACCCCCAAAGCCGCCTTCGGGCCCGGCGGGCCGGGACTCCCCCGGACCGCGGAGCACGGCACCCCCCTGCTCCGCCAATGGGCCGCGCCAGGCGCCGTGTCGAGGCGGCGCGGAGGGGCGCTCCCATTACGGGCGGAGGGGGGAGAGAGAGGGGGGCCGGTGTGAGGCGTGTGAGGCGCCGCGCTGAGGGGCGGCAGCGGCGGCGAGAGCCGGGGGCGGCCCGGGCTCTGCCATCGCACCCGGCCCTGCCATCGCACCCGGCCCTGCCATCGCACCCGGCCCTGCCATCGCATCCCAGCCCTGCCATCGCACCCGGCCCTGCCATCGCATCCCAGCCCTGCCATCGCACCCGGCCCTGCCATCGCACCCAGCCCTGCCATCGTACCCGGCCCTGCCGTCGCATCCCAGCCCTGCCATAGCACCCGGCCCTGCCATCGTATCCCAGCCCTGCCATCGCATCCCAGCCCTGCCACCGCACCCGGCCATCCCGACCCAGCTGTGAGGGCCGCCCGGAGCTGTCGGGGAGCGGCAGCGGGAGCTGCAGGGAGCGCTGCTGGCCGTGCAGCCGCCGCACCATCCTTCCTCCTCCCTCGTTCCTCAGAGCTTGTCCCTTTTCCTTTCCGGTGGGCCCAGAAGGGAGGGCTTGGCTCCGGTCACCTGCTGTAAACTCTCCTGCACTTCTCTGGGATTGGGGTTAAACCTTCCAAAGGGCAAACCCCCAAACGCTGGGATGAGGCTCCTTGTGTGCCAATAAACAATTCGCCTTTTTTCTCCCTCCTAGCATTTTTCCCCCCTCTTAATTTATTTCCTCCACATCCATGACAGCTGCCTGCCGGCACTGCAGCACTGAGAGATTACAGAGCCCTCAGGGCCACAGGGCAGGGACAGGGGATGGGAATGGGATGGGGATGGGGATGGGGATGGGGATGGGGATGGGGATGGGGATGGGGATGGGGATGGGGATGGGGATGGGGATGGGGATGGGGATGGGGATGGGGATGGGGATGGGGATGGGGATGGGGATGGGGATGGGGATGGGGATGGGGATGGGGATGGGGATGGGGATGGGGATGGGGATGGGGATGGGGATGGGGATGGGGATGGGGATGGGGATGGGGATGGGGATGGGGATGGGGATGGGGATGGGGATGGGGATGGGGATGGGGATGGGGATGGGGATGGGGATGGGGATGGGGATGGGGATGGGGATGGGGATGGGGATGGGGATGGGGATGGGGATGGGGATGGGGATGGGGATGGGGATGGGGATGGGGATGGGGATGGGGAGGGGGATGGGATGGGATGGGGATGGGGCGGCTGCTCAGAACCGTGGGGACAGCTTGTGAGTGGGAAAGCAACTGGGCACGAGAAACAAAACCAGTAAAGCTCATCGTGAGACCTGCCTGGCCCAAATCCCACCCAGGAGTTTCCCTCGGTGCTCCTTGTGCATTTTGTGCAGTGCCAGACCCAGCTCCTGCCCTTTTCTGATCCTTACCTTCGCGTGAGGAAGCTGAGGATGGGGAAATAGCATTTATAGAGAGCAGAACAACACAGCTCCTGAGGGGACTGCACTTTCCTCTTGTCTCTGTTTCAGAGCTTGGCCCGTTGCTTCCAACATATAAATCCTGATCCCAGAGGAGGCAATTGTATTTAAATATATATGCATTTCCCCTGCATTAATTTCCTTTCCCATGTGACTGGTGACATGAAGGATTGTAACAGAAGAATGTATTTTTAATGCATTTCCTGCAGATTTCTGCAAGGCAATCTAATTCCTGAGTGGGTTTAACTTGCCACAAAGGCAGAGGACCTCAGGAGCACTGGTAATTGGTCTGGGTGGGTTCTTTTAATCTACTGTTTTAATGTGCTCCATCCATCTCTCTGATTAGATTAATCTCATTTATTTTAGCCAAGCCATCTAGCTGAAATCCCAACAGAGGAAACTGGGATTTTGAGTCTTTCAGGGTGAGCGCTGGGAGTGTTAGGCAGCGAACTCCACAGGGAGATTTCCATTTTGCCCTTTTGTCACGTCAGAAATGTGTAACCCTGGTGATCACACTGAAGGGACCGTTTGGGCTGTGAATCTGCCTCGTCCATGAGGGGCTGTGGAGAGCCCACGCAAGCTCCTCTGCCCTGCTTGAAGCAACTTCCCTAAGAAATTAAACCCAGCCTGGTGCAGAGGGCTCAGCTTTCCAAGAAGGCTCCCATTTTCCTGGCAGGAGCAGAGGGAGCTCCACGGCTGGACCTTCCTCACCTGTGGAATGGCCACGCTTTTGCAGCCCCACCGTCGTGACCGTGCTGGGCGCGGCGAGGGGGAGAGCCTGCCAGTGCAAACAGAAATACCTTCCCCGTGGAAGGGGAAATGGATTTTTTGTTTAAAAGATGGCAATGTTTTTCCAAGCCTGATGAATATGAAAGTCCCCATTTAAAGGAGTCGAACCAGTGGAGAAGCTGGTCACTGTTTGCACGCCCACGCGCCGACAGAGGAGGTGAAAGCAAACTTCCTGGTGTATCCCGATCCAAATCACCTGGGAGCGAGGCACAGTGCCCCGAGCTGTGAGCTGCTGTGCTGAGCAGCTGCAGAAAGCTCTCTGTGAAACAGCAAACCCCATCCCAACAGGAGAGGCAGAGCCCTGCTGGTGTCACAACCCTCACTTCCAAAACGCGAGGCAACTTGGAGCTTAGCTGCATCTGTGGCTGTTGGAAATTGGCCTTACAGGGGGAAGGCAATGAGGGTGGAGGGCAGAAAGTGTTAGCAGGTGTTTTGGGAGGGTGTGGAGGGGAGAGCAGGGAAGACTGGAGTTTTCCTCTGCCCAGTCCTCCAGGAAAGCTATTTTTGCAGGAGCTCCTGGGCGCCAGACAAGGTTTGGATTGTTCCCGTGCTGGATGCTGGTGCAAATACGTGGGCAGACAGCTGGATCCTGAGGAGCTCCCAGTGTCCCAGCAGGCGTGTGAAGGGTTATTTTACACCTTGTCCAGGTGAGAGGATGTCTTGGTGTCAGGTTTGCCATGGTCCCTGATTTTGGTTGGGAGTGCTCTGGAGAAGTGAGTGCCTGCTGCAGTGCTGCTCTGCAGGGGCATGCAAGGTGTGTGTGTGCCCATGACACACCACGTGCTCCACCAGCAGCTATGGTATCTGTCAATTCCCTACTCCTCAGGTGGTGCATGACCTTTCCTGTGAGACATTCCATCTCTGGCTGTTGCCACCTCAGTCACAGTGGATGTGTCTGAGATACAGGGAGCAGCCACTTGGAGCAAACCACCCCTTGTCCTGTCCAGCCTCCTGTGGGCAGTGCCCGGTCTCGGGGTGTTCCAGACCAATCTGTCATCTGTGTGTTTAGGGCATGGCTTGGTACTGGGTAAACTGAGGCTTGGAGGGGTTTGGCTCATGGTCACACAGGCAGCCTGACCACAGCCCAAACATTGTGCCTGACTGGGAGTTGTGCATGGAGCTGGGGAGCTCTCGTGCCATCTCACCCCCTTGGACACCCCCACACCCAAAATTGGGTTTGGGCTCCCCGTGCAAAGCACTGGGTTGCTGTTGGTGCCGCTGGCTCTGGATAATCTTTGTATTTGCTGACTTGACTAAATTGTGGCTTGGTGGAGAGCTCGACTCTGGGGGAAGCTGAAGGTACAGGGAGGCCCAAACCACACACAGCGCTCGGGGAGGAATTGTGATCCAAAAAAAAAAAAAGTTCAAAGGTGTTTTTGGCTTAATGCGGTTTATCTAGATTGCTTTATGTTCGTTAATCTGTATTAACACAAATTCTCTTGGAATGGCTGCCTGGGGAAGGGTTTGCTCAGCTATTCTGACAAAGACAGACTTTTCCAAAAGTAAAATGTTTGAGCTGGGAAGAAAAAGCCAGGTCCTGTCTGGCATGAGTACATGGAAGCCTTGTGAGCAGAACAAGGCTGTTTCATCCCTGGCACCCACAGACACTAATGACTGATCAACTTCCCCCACTACCATGGAGGATTAATCCCCCTGTTCTTCCTGGGGTGATGTGAACCCCTTTTCCAGCTGGCGTGCCAGAGCGGATGGCACAATTAGTTAGTGAATTTCAAGGTAAATTGGAGGTCAAGCCCAGATTTGAGGGTGGTGGTGGGTGTGAGCGTGACCCAGGGAGCCATGTGATGTGGGTGACGTCCTGGAGAGGCAGGTGATCTCCCTGTCCTCTCCTTTCCCCAGGGCTGGGATTAGGAGAGATTTTACAGCTGAGTGACCAGCCTCATGGTGAGGATTGGTTCACAATGGCTCAGCCCCCAGCCCCTTATCAAGGAAACTTCTAGGTCTTGTATGGCCAAGCTGGGCATCAGCAGAGCAGTTTGTTCCTGTCCCTGGGAGGCACCACCTCTTTGCATCCATAGGGACTTCTCACCTTGAGAACAGGCAGAGAAACAGCCAGAGAAACCTGGAACTTGTGGAGATGGATGGCAAAGCCCAGTGCTTTGGAGAGGGTTATCTAATGCTTGAACCTTCACCTGTCATCTGAGTGGACTTCTTGCTCTTCAGAAGCCATGCAGCCTTGGGCAGGTCCTTGCACCAGATCCCACCTCTTCCCACCAGCTGCCTGCGATCAGGATTGCTTGGGTGCCACAGGGCTGGAGACCTCTTGGAGACCAGTGGATCAGCTCCACGAAGGGCCCAGCTCCAGCTCCCAGCAGCCAGGAGCAGCAGCAGGCAAGCAAAGCATTCCTGCAGAGCTGGGATGGGAGTTGTAAGCAGGACCTGGGGCCTGCCCCAAACCCAGGGGACTCCCTCCTCCCCCTGCCCGTGCAAACACCAGATTAACAATTTATTTGACATGTTGCGGCTGGTTAGTTCTTCACCCGCTCCCCTGATCAGAGGGAATAAGTGTTGCAGTGTGCAATAATGTTCATTTCAGGTGAGGGTAAATATAGAAAGGAAAACCTGCTGAGAGCAAGCCATTTATTCCTGAGTTTGGAAGCCTCTGCTCATAAACAGTCAGTCATGCCCATTTGGAAAATCCCAGTGTGGTTTTCTTGGCCATCCTAGAAGAACATTTACTTTCCTGTAGGTTAAGAAGTCCGTTTTAAATAAAAAAAATAATGTCATCTCACTTCCAGCTGCCCTCGGGTGTTTAGGGCTTGTTGACACACTAAGGCCGCTCTGTTCTCATGCAAAAATGGTCTGATGCAGGAATTAGGAAGGAGATCCTGCAGGGCTTCCCCAGCTGGTTGAGCTGTCGGCCCCTTGTTCTTTGGGTTCTCCTTGTTCCCTTTGGGATTTTATCAGATGTTTTAGCCATGTGTAGGGTTAAAACCCCCCCAGCTTTTGGGGGTGTGGATTCAGGGGTGCCCTGAGAGCCCCGTGCACGGGGAGGCTGGGGTAGAGGGATGAGCTCATGCTGGACCAGAAAAACTCTGAGGGTTTTTGGGAGAGCGTGCCAAGGGCAACAAGACAGTGAGGGCTGCAGGAGCATCCCTCAAACGAGCCAGCAGCCATGGTCAGCCCATGGTGACCTGCTGCAGCACGGCAAAGACACCCCAAAGCAGTGCTGTAGGAGGAGGCTGAGGAAGGTGGGGAGCCCCTGGCACAGCCAAGCTCTGCCTCTCTCCTCCATCCCAAAAGTGGCACCGAGGAGCTGTGCGGGAGAGCAAAGCGGCCGGTTTGAGTTGGACTGTCTGCTCCACAGCTGGCACCAGCCAGCTCCCTCCTCTGGAGTGTTCTGCAGTCAGTAAGGGTCTCTCCACTGTCTGCTCCACAGCTGGCACCAGCCAGCTCCCTCCTCTGCAGTCAGTAAGGGTCTCTCCGTGTTTTCTGACAGGCTCTGGATTTGGCTCTTGCCTTGGTTTCCAAAGGCAAGAGGCAGTTAAGTCTCTTGGAAGAATGAATTAATTAGCAAATGCCTTTGGTCAGGTCAGTGCCCTGAGCAGTGTGCCCGTGCCTCAGCGCCAGGTACAGGCTCAGAGAGGCTGCTCTTACCTCACATATTTCCAGAGCTCTACATGCATCATCTCACAAAAAAGAAAGGGAAAAAGCCTCCCCCGGAACGCAGTATTGACTTTAATGGTGGCATTTGTGTAAGCAACAAAATATTGACGCAGTTGGCTGGGGTCTGCCCGGGGCTTCTGGAAATAAACTGCTGCCTTGTTAAATTGTAGATGGAAATGCAAGTGGGAAAATGACTGACATCTTACACAAGGCGGGCAAATAAAACCGCTGCTTTACTACGGCATGAAAAAACTCAGGAATTAATAGGTCTCCTTCTGCTCCAGGGTGTTGGATTTATCCCCAAGTAAGATCCATAAACTATTTTAAGGAGAGAAGTGCTACTTTTAAACATGTGTGTCTGGGTCCTGGAGTTCCCGTGGTGTCACAGTTAACCCCTGCCTTGTCAGGGGCAGCAGAGCAGCCCCCCAGAGCCCCCCCAGCCCACCACAGCCCTGTTCCTTGAGGCAGCATTCTTGCCAGTGCACAAACACATCAACACCTGATAAATGATGAGGTTACTTACAAAGGATGTTTTCCTACGATGTGTTCCCACAGCTTTTGTCAGAAATGTGTTCAGGCCTCGACCTGGGCTCTGAGCTTGATTTTACCAGTGTGGGACATAAAATGTATTTTAAAAACCCCACCTGCTCCAAAGCTGTGTCTGACTCAAAGCAGATGCACTGAGCATTGCTGAGTCCATCTGGGGTGTGGCCCAGCACACCCCAAAAGACTCCTTTTGACTTCAGTAGCTGAAGACCTTTTATCATCTTCTATGGGAAATGTGATTAACAGAGCTGTAGAGAGTGATACATCACTTTCCTTTCTACCCAAAGCCCCTTCCTTCTCCACCCACATCCTGATGATCTCCCAGCTGACGTACATGTGCTCGTGGAAAAGTAGGATGTGATAAAAGCTGTGTTCCAGTGGCACAGGGTCCGACTCACCGGCAGCAGCGACACCAGTGTAATTATACACGCTCCCGTCCGATCTCCCAGTAATTATTCTGGAATAAAAGCCTGCCTATTTCTGTAAGACCTTATGTCACTTGGAAAGCTGTTATAAATTCAGCTGGAAAAAGGGACCCTTATTCTGGGATAAGTGTGGTTAGTGGTTAACTGGGAACGGGGCTATTCCTGGCGTTGCCATCGAGCTTCCCGGTGACGCCGGGGTAAGTCACTTCACCTCAGCGTGTGTCACCTTCTCCTGCTGCAAACTGGGAGTTACAAACAAGGGCTTTCGCAGGCAGCCTTTTGGGAAGCCCCACAACTCTGGAAAAAAGGTGTCACAGGGTGCCAGGCAGTCATTTTGTGGGACCTGGTGCTTTTTTACTCACCTTGGAGGCATCTGGATCAAACTGTAGGCTGGGGAAATGAGGGACGAGTGTTGGGGACCGGCTGAGCCGCGTGAGCCTGGGCTGTTGGCGTGTTACTGGGAATACTGTGTTTTCCTCTCGGTTTTTAAAAATAGTCTATTCTGTTCCAAGTTGTAGACCACAGCCCTCGCTGGGGCATTGAAATGTCTGGGCTGCTGTTTTCTCGAGCCAGCACCTTCCAGTGTTCAGGGTTGGGATGCGATGCCAGCATCCATCCCCTCAACTGCTGGGTCCAGCAAAGATGGGGGGTCCTGCCCTGGACTGGCAGCATTCTGGTTCTCATGGACAGGAGGAAAAGGGAAATCTGGTCCACTCTTCTCCCTGCAGCATCCCTGCCTGGTTCAATAGCTGCTTCTGCAAGCCCTAAGGGCCTCGGGGACTTTTGCTTCTCAGCAGCTTCTTGTGCAGCCTCAGAAACTGCTTTTGGCTCAGCATCACACAAGCACACACAGCTGAAGATGCAGCTCGTTCCTTGCACATGGCATTAAATCCATGCTCGAGGTGGGGAGAATCCTCTCAGAGGCTTTTATCATTTGCACAGACAGTGCAGGCTGGCTCACAGCCAGAATCCATCTGCTTGCCAAAGCGGGTGCTGCCCACGGAGCAGCAGGACCAAGGTGCTGATGCCAAGAGGTGCAGGCAGAGCCTGCC